TGAACCACAGAGAGCCCAAAGGCATTGTTCGTGGCTTAAAAAACGGATACAATAGCAAGTAAATATCAAAACACAATGGTTTTATCAATTTATAATAAAGCAAACATCTAAGTTTTTAAAATTCTACTTGAATTCAGCCATGACTCTTTAAATCCCTAGACAGGGAGAGAGAGGTAAGAACACTAACGTATGCCTTCTTGTCAGTGAACACAAATTTAAAGATGTGTTCACCGTGTACTGTCTTTCCCAGATCTTTTTGTTACAGCATCTACTCCCACATTTGACTTCATAAAACGAAAAACCAAAATGATGCATGCAAAGGTATATCACCATACTCATCAAAATTCTTGAGGGGTTTTGGCTTTATGTTTTTCCACTGCATTTGTAAATTACAGTCTAACTGAGATTAGAAGGCTGACAAGTTTAATAATTTAACCTTGGAATTTACTACACTAAAATTTTGTGTTAGCAACTTTTACAGTAGGTTATCCACTAGAAACTAGAGATATCAATCAAGAAATGCCTAAACAAAATTATAAGCACTATTTTGAAGAATATTTGTGTCAATGAAATCACTCGGTTTATTTCATTGTAAGAAGCTGTTTTTCTCTTAGAGAGGTGTATCTGTACACAGGGGGAGAGAGAGCATGAATGTGCATACACCAGTTAAAGCACACTGCAGTTAATTAAGAATGGTTGCTGACATACTTTTATGCAAGACTTTCATCACAACTGCAAAAATGATATGGCAAGAGAAAATAGCTTTGTAATCTCTAAATATTATGTTCTATACGCCCACTTCTTCGCATTTTAAGAAAAATTATGAAATATTCTGTGAGTTTTCAAAAGAATTGTTAAGAATACATCTGTTCATAAACTCTTTAATATCTTGTAGAGGCACGTTTCACTTTTAAAAATTATGTTTTTTAACATTTTTAATGAAAAAAGGGTGCGTTGTGAAAATCAAGATGCTACACTTATTCTCAGCATTCCATAAAAACACAACTATTCTAGACTGCTGAATTTTTTTTCAATTACTATTTTGAATGCCCCAAACACAGGCAGGTTCAAGATTCTGTAGCTATTCTCAAGAAGTTCAAAACAGGACGCGTTATTGCTATATGTGCATGAGTGTGATTTATGTGATTGCTATACGTGCTGTTGTTATATGTACATCACCATAGCATCACCTACAAACAGTATGAGAAGAGTGCTTTAGGCTGTATTTCAAGCAGCCTGTTGGGAATCAGGCTTTCTGCTTTTGCTCGCAGTGAGCAAAATTGACTCAAAAAACCAATTTTTCCCCCTAATTTGAATAGTTAAGACACTGAATTAAACATTGGATGCTACTTTAGCAAAAGGTGCATTCAAGTGTGGCATTTTGTGGGCAATAAGTAAATAGGGCTGATTCGGACCAGTTGCAACAGCCACAGGTGTTTGAACCTCATTTTACGTTCTTCATTCCCCACCCCGCAAACTGCAGAGGTGGTGATGTGAACTTGAGGGTCTGCCAGGCCTCTTTATCCAAGAGAAAATAGCTCCTTGTCCTCCATGAAAAGCCACGGCAGAGGACAAAGCTGGGCTAGCATATTCTTTCCCCCTTGTACCTTTCCCTCCCACTCTCAGCAGCAGCTTAGGGTTCAGGAGGCTCATCCACAAGCATCCCAATCTCAGCAACGTGACACGGGTCACATCACTGGTTCCTGAGCCAAAACGCAGTTATCGAGGCTGCACTGGCTACCCTGGGCTGAATTTGCTAGCTGAACAGCTCTTCTTCGCTTCTACCTGGGAAAGAGCAACCTAAGGATAAAATCCAGTTGAGAGCCAAAAGCTACACAGCCCTATTACATCAAAAACCAGGATATATAAATCAGACATTTTCAATGAAATTAAAGAACATGATAAAGCAGATCGTTCCTAACTCTTCCAAACATCACCCAACTTTTCATGCTAACCATTTATATTTTCGCATATAAAAGTAACTTGAAATAACTGTCAGTACATCCTGTATAGAAAAAGACTTATCTGACCTCGGAATGCAATGACTATGCCAGCTTTTGCACACCTACTTATCCCACATGTATTCATACACTACAGAAACCAGTGCTGATGTTTATGCAAGGCGGGTCCTCATCTGATTAGCACAGCGGAGAACAGCAAGGCGCTGTAATTGCCCAATAGCCAAATTACTTGCAGTAAGGCTGAACGTTGTGAGCAGTATTTTTGCTAGTTAGAGACACACTGGCCCACAGCTTCTCACCAGCCGTTGCCCTCTACCCTAGCAGGAAGCTACTGCTAGCCCCGATTCTGGACATGCAGGTGAGAAGGCACATCTGCATGTGTCCATGGGAAATAAAATAAGTTGCTTTTTTATTTTATTTTACTAAATTTGAAAAAGAGGCATCATTTGCTCAATGTGTGTCTTCTATAGAACCTTATGATTTCATATACCTACATACTATTTTTTTTTTTTTGAAGGGAGTAGTTTGAGCCAGGACAAGAAAAATATTTTGCAAAGTAATACAATAACTGAAGGAAATTATTGTAACCATCGCCAGTAATAGGGTGTGGACGCATAGGGTCCTTAGAGACAATCATGTACAGTAAAAGCACTGTTTAAAAAAAGGAAATGAAAATAAATCAGAATTTGTGTTTTATTAGCAGGGATTTGGGAATCATGTCAGGTTAAAAACGAAACCAACCAAAACCAAACATTCATCTTTAAAGGCCAGAGGAAGCTGAAGCGCTCTACAAGGCCTTAAAGAAAAACCGTCCAAAATAGCTTCTTTCAATGATATAAGCTCTTCCAAAGAATGTTTGAGGGTTAAACAATGTGTAATGACAAAGAATGACATTTTCACAGGGGACAGGAAACAACGTATCAAAAATGGTAAAATATCCTCAAAGCATCAAAGCAATTGTGGAAGGACTGCTAAATTCTGTCCTGCCAACAAACCCAAGCCTGCTTATAAAAATAATAATGCTGCAAAGGTATTAATCCTCCACTTAACTATATGAGGAAGGAACAAGACACAGACTGTTTTGCAGGTCCAAAGCCTGTTTATAACAGCAGAGCGATCTAGCACTAACAATAAAGTAATGAATAGAAGGTACTATTCATGATTGATGCCGTTACTACTAATCAATGTCCCTCAAAAATCCAGAAAACAAGCAAAAAAAAAAAAAAAAGGCAGCCACAGCATTATGAAGACATGAAAAGCATACAGCAGTGTTTTATACAAAATATTTGCTCATAAAGAGAAAAGAAAAAGGATATATCTTTTGCACTCCAAACAAATGCAAGAAGTGGGAATACCTACATCAGGCTATGCTGTGGGAATAGATAATCAGTTTTGCATTTACAGAGGAAGAACACACTGACAAGTTTTTACAAACTTCTGCAGACAAGCACTTCAGAGAGTTTGCATTTACTATACAGATGGTTAAAAAGTCACTTCAGGTAATTCAGATAAAAAAGGAGCTTATCAGTGCAGTCAGCCTCATAGTCCTGGAGAGGAAACACAAGGCTGCCATGCCATTTCTGGTAACATTACATCAGGTTACAACTTTACACTGCTTACCAGGGCGTTTTGCACACCAAAATGGGATGCTGTGATTTTTGGAGCACAAAACGGAGCAGAATCTTGTTGGGAGAATTATTCCGGGAATTTCCTAACAAAATACAACCAGATGAGCATATTGTACTCTTTTATGTTTGCCATGTGGAAAAAACAAAACAAAACAAAATATGGCATCAAGGAAGGCTACAAGGGAATCCCACTCAAACCCGCGAACAGATGGAAAAACATTCTCGCAAGTTGAAAAGATCTTAGTACAAGATTATCGCTCTAACCTCAAAGACAACATCTCAAAATAGAATCTGATACTACAGGCATAAGTGACAATCGTGACAGAGGAATAGAATATATATTTATATATATATATAAAATTAAACAAGTTCTCTCTCTAAAATATAGAAAAATATATAGAATTAAATAAGCTCTAAAACTTCTTCTCCAGCTACTAATTACTATGCAGAGTATGCATAATTTTTTCAGGTTTTTTGTGGCTATTCAAAACAATTTGATAGATAAGGAAAGACAGAAAAGACTAACCGATCCGTTCACTTAGGAGCAGTGAAATGAGATCCAAGGCCTGATTCAGGCTTCTACTATGAAAGACAGCATAAAATGATGAGTACATTGAAAATACTGAGTTGGTATAAAGGTGCCTGTTCCTGCCTTGTACTTTTTCTAACAAGAGACGGCCAAAAGGTTGGTGTGATTTTATAGAAATCATCCCTGAAATAAATGCACAATGCACTCCTCTTGTGAGAAGTACAGCCCCCCAAAATGGTAGAAAGTCTAAAAGCAGGTACAATGCTTGGGAGCAGGATTTTTCTTCCAGTTTGGTAATGGAGATATACAAATCTGTCCATGATTGACACTAAGTTTCTGTTTGTGATGAAATACAGCATCATCAGTTGTTGACTTGAAGTCGTGACAGTTACAAAAAAGAGTAGCTGTTTGAAGAAAATCATAAAAGTCATCATATTCTCCAACTCTCTTTTTCAACAGAACAGGATCAGGAATAACATGGTTGCATGTTTAAAAAAGGACTAAAGGATTTCTGAACATTTATATCTCTAGGAATATATTACTAGGAGAAACATCTGAAATTGAAGAAGCCTTATAATAAAGTAAATGACATCCATATAGGCTTCACAGTCAAATGTAGTGAACACATTATTAATGACACATTCTTTTGGGAATTAGGTTCTGTTAGACTATTATTCTCTTCTCCCGCATTATTACCAGTAGACAACAGTAGACACTCCCATATCCTTCTTCTAGTTGTATTAGTGAAAAACTATTGCCACCTTCCTGGTTTGATGAGCAGATCAAGGTTTTAAAATATGTAGCAGTGGG